CCTCGGGCAGGGCGTGCAGCAGGTGGTATTCCAGGCTGGCCGGGGTGGGCAGCAGGGCGGCGCGCGTGGTGGCCGCCGCGGCCAGCAGGGCCAGGCCGGCCAGCAGCCAGGCCAGGGGCGTGCGGCTGCCGGGGTTGCCGGGGTTGCCGGGGCCGGCCGTGGCGTGCGGCCGGCTCCTGCCCGGGGCCGGTGGCCGGGGGCCGGTCATGATGCGTTGCAGGTGCGTGTGGGCGATTCTTCGTAGCGGGGTGACACTCGGAAGCAGGAGGCAGGCGAGGGGGGCGAGGGGGGCTGGCAGCATGGGGCGCATGCGGGGGCGGGGGGTGTTCAGCCCCCGGGGATGTGGCTTTTATAGTGCATCGTGCGGGTCAGGGAGGACCTCGGGCATTGGCGGCATGGCTGCGCGGCTGCGAGCATCGGCACATAGAGCGGATGTGCTGGTGCCCGGTGGCCTGCGTGCCTGCCCCCCTTCCCCGCTCCGGCGCCCTGGCGCCCCGGCCGAGCACTAGCCCAGCCAGCTGCCTGGCCATGCTCCGGCACGTGAGCCACAGGCCGGCGTTTGCGCGTGTGGTTGTGTGTGTGCGCTTGTATTTGTGCCTGCGCGGCGGGGAGGCGCGCAGGGAGGGGAGTCGGCGCGCTTGCCCGATGGCGGCATGAGGGCCACCGGCCCCAGGGACCGTGCCCTGGCAAGCGGCTGGCATGGGCATCGAGCCCGCTGGGCGTCCCCCCGTCTGCCTGGGAGGGGGGAGGGGGGAGGACGGGCATGTTGCTCCCTGGCACGCGGGACACGACGCGGCCCCAGAGCACAGCCAGGCTGGCTGCGCGGGCGCGCGCGCGCGCGCGCGGCACCCAAAGTGCCACTGACCCTCGGCGTACGCTGGGTCTGCATGCATCGCGGTCCGGGACGCGGAGAGGGGGCAGCGGCGTCCCCAGCTCGGCCGCCCGTCCCGCGACCATGGGACCCGCGTGTGGGACCCAACAACATGGCACCCACGATACGAGACCCGGTCATGAGAAAATACCCGCTCCCAGGGACCCCTGGAATGACGCCGGCGGCCGGCCCAATCAAAGCCCCTCAGAGGAGGCCGCAGCCCGCCTGTCCTTCTCCCGGCCCGGGAGCGTGGCCCGCGGTGCTCCGCCGTCGAAAAGAAGGCCGCGAGCACGCGGCAGCCGGCCAGCCCCCTGTGCCAACAGCTGGAGGCTCCCGTACTGCCAGCGGACCAGGGGCCAAATGAATGGCCGGCATGGATTCCCCCCAGTCGGGATGGCGGATGTGACAAGGCGCATGTTAATATAAACATGCACATTGAATCCCAGCGGGTGGGGGCACACAACCGGCTGCCGAAGACGCGGGGGCGGCCTGGGCGCGAGCCGGCCAACAGTGCGCCCCCCCCCCCCCCCCCCCCGAGGCGGGGTGCGATGGCTGGTCACGAGGGGCCGGTGTCCCGGCTGAGTTACCCCGCGGAATATCGTTCGAGAGTTGCAGTTGGGCGCCGGGTCGATGGCCTAAGGATGCCAGTTAATAGGCCGGAAACGGCCCGGGCAACATGCCGCCCCCTCTCCCCTCCCCGTGGGTTTTCCCCCCCCGCTGGCCAAAAGCCCGAGCCGCCGCCGTGGCTGCTCCGGTGGCCTGCACCATATGTGGTGCGGGCACCCCTCCACCGCCGGAGTCCCGCACAAGGCGCGCCCGCACGGCCCCCCCCCCTCCCCCATGACCCCAGCTGCTCACCCCCTTATAGCAGGCTGCCTGCTCCGGGCTCGCACCTCACCACGGCCCTCCCGGAGTGGGGACCCGCCCTCCGCCTGGGGGCGACAAATTGCTCTCGCTGCCTGTGGTGAGCAAGAAGCCACGGCGAGGCTCCAAGTGTGTCCGCGGATCACCCCTCGCCCCCCACCAACCACATTTTGCCGGGCGTGTCCCGGTGTCGCTGCGGTCCCCACGCTGCCGGGGCGCGCGCACTCCTACGGCTCAGCCGAACGCGCGGGCCACGACATCGCCCCCCGGACCATCCACCCGGGCGAGGGGCCCCGGCCTGTTTCGAGCATGCTGTATATTGCGCGAGGGTCAGAGGCAGCTGACTCGGGATGGAGGGATGAGCG